GCTTTTGTGTGGACATAAAAGTGGAAGTATGTGAAGTACCGGCAGTATTTCTGAACATCAGTGAAGGGTATAAAATCTGGATTCCAGATTCAAATTTTAGGCCCTATTTCGTTCTTGGTAAAGGAATTAAGACTGTAGAAATTATTACTTGAACTCTTTTTGATCTTACTGCACACCAGTATGTTTTGCCTGATAAAAATAACTGAAAAGAAACCCTAGGAGGGATAGATTTCTCTTATAAAATGGAATCAATGCCATAAAATTGTTTTGTTTCTATTTATTATGAGAAATTCAGCACTCTTCTAAAAAAAAATAAATTAATCACTTAAGAATTACCTGTTTGTATTACTGCCATGCAAACATACTTTTTCATTTTTCAGTTAACTAAAAAGCTGAGCAGTCAACTAATCCATTATCTTTACTTACCATGCTGGCTGCTCGAAGCATCTCCTGCTCCATATAGGGTGTCAGATCCAGATTCTGGCTCTATCTCCCTTAGGGTCTGGTAAATCAGCCAGTGTAAATCCAGAATTGCTAATGACAGAAACAGTAGATTTCAGTTCCCAGATGCAACATATGTCAAAAGATAGCTTCTACACTCAAATCCAGTGAAACAAAATAGTTTTGACATTTTTGTTTGTTTGCACTGATAGGTTTTAAAATCTTAATTAAGTCCAAATATCAGAATAAATTCACCATGACAGCCATTAGGTATTCAATACATTAAATTTACAGCTGGGTATACCGCAGAAAACATACATTAAGCATATATTGAGAACTACCTCTCCAACAACTTAAGTCTATTAGATTTTGTCAGACTGGAGACACAGTTGACAAATGGGGATGTATCACTCATTTAGGTTACTCCTTGTGTTTTCCAAGTTCTGTTGAAGTGCTGCACAAACTTAAAGGAGTGACTTCCCTAATAAACAAAGAATCGAGTTTCACAGCTTTAAAGAAATATTTCACTGCAGATTCTATTTCATCTGGTACTGTACTTCAGATAATTATTGAGTATTTACAATTCTGACATCAGCTATTATCCTTGACAGGGAAAAAAAGAAAATTGTTGCTATAAAAATATATAGAGAAACCAAATGCTGGGTAAGATTTTTGAAACAAATTTCAGTGAGAATTGAAAGTTCTTGGCTTTTTAGAAGTACTAACACATGCATCAGTTTCCAGGGACTTTAGTGGATTTATCAATACTTCAGAAATCAATTATTAATTTAGGATTGCAAATCAATATTTAGAAGGATGATTTTTATGGTCCTGTTTTTTGAAGACAGAGCTTGCTGTATTTCCTTGATTAGAGAATCCTTCCTTGAAAAGTCAGAAGCCACCAGTGGGGGGGGGAGGACGGTAAACAACTTGCACTCTTTAAAGGCTAATGTTACATTGCAAAAGTATATTTGACAACCACAAAAACACGTCAGCGTATAAAAAAGGTATTTGCTACTATTTTTTAGGGTATAACACTTGCACATTTGCTGTAAATTATGAAGCTGGCATGCTAACTACCCAATTTTAGATTACTGCATACACATATTAATCAAGGGAAATAGATAATAAATTTGGCTCTTCCCCACACTACGTACACAGGAGTTCACTGTTTTCCTCTGTTTCTTCAATTAACTCAAATAAGTTGGTTGCAGAACTTGATGGGATTTGGTGGTTTCTGATGCCAGCCCAGATCTCCAGACCACGAGTATCCACAGCTGATCATCAAAAGAACAACAAATAAATAGTTAGTATGTCATAATTATGTATTAACTATCTCTCACTGTTACTGTGTCACAATGTTACAAGTTCAGGTAAAGTTTTTAAGTCAGAGTATAAAACACTTCTACTGTACTTCTTACTCAAAAAGGCAATAGAACGCTCTATTTTGGCCAGCAGCATTAAATAGAGGAAAGTAAAGAGCTGCTGCTGATGACTAGGTTAAAATTAAGAGGAATGTTAAAAATTACGACTCAGGTGAAAGAAAATCTCAACCAAATCAGAATCAATTGAATGGAATCATCCATTGCAGCTTTATTTGTTATACCTTTCATAGCATTTGTGGTGGGTTGACCTTGGCTGGCTGCCAGATGCCCACCCAACTGCGCTCTCACTTCCTCTCCTCAACAGGACAGTGGGAAGAAAATAAGCTGAAAAAGCTCGTGAGTCAAGACAAAGACAGGAAGATTGTTTACCGATTACCACCATGGGCAAAACAGACTCGGGGAAAATTATTTATTGCAAATTAAGACAGGCTTGGATAGTGAGAAACAAAGATAAATTAAAACATCTTCCCCCCATCTCATGCCCTTTTTTCACAGGCTCAACTTCACTCCTTCATTCCCAACTCCTCTACCTCCCCCCTGAGTGGTGCAGAGGAATGAGGAATGGGGGGTTGTGGTCAGTCCATAGCAGTCCCTCTCTGCTGCTCCTCCCTCCTCACATTTTTCCCCTGCTCCAGCATAGGTCCTCCACAAGCCACGGTTCCTGTCAGAAGAATGTGCTCCTGCGTGGGCTTTCCATGTGCTGCAGTTCCTTCAGGAAATACCCACCTGGCATGGAGTCCTCCATGGGCTGCAGCGTGTATATCTGTTCCGCTGTGGTCCTCTTCATGGGCTGCACAGAAGCACCTGCTCCACCACGGTTTCTTCCAAAACTTCCACAGGCTGCAGGGGAAATATCTGGTTTGACACCTGGAGAACCTTCTCCCCCTTCCTCCTTCTCTCACCTCTGTCTCCACGGGACTGCTTTTCGCACTTCCCCCCCCCCCCATGTTGTGCAGTAGTTTACCCTTTGCTAAATATGTTTTCACAGAGGTGTCACTAGCTTTGCTGATGGGCACAGCTTTGGCCAGCAGCAGGTCTGTCACAGAGCCAGCTGGAACCAGCTGTGTCCAGCACAGGGCAGCCCCTGGCCTCTTTGGACAGAGGCCACCCACACAGCCGCCCCATTATCAAAACCTTGCCACGTAAACGTATTAAAAGCTACTTCAGCTAAAATATTATTCAGAGGGAAAAATCCATGAAGAGTAAAATTTTTTGCTCCTAATTTTACCTTTATGTTGCTTATTTAAGAATGAACTCAGAACAGCAGGTCCTTGCATTAAGCACCTGTAAAATTTATTCTCTCACTACTGTTGTTTCAGGGAACAGGAGAAAGTGAAGGAAGTAATTACGATCGCCTCTCTCCTGACATAACTAGTGTAAAATTGAAAGCAATCATATGTTCAAGGTAAAGTAATACAAATGCAGCTCAACAACTAAACAGTTCACTTATATAGGTAAAAAAATCACTTGAAGCTTTGGTAGATAAATTTGTTGCAAAGTTCTAACAGAAAGCTAGCAAACATGTACAGGTAAAATGCTGCCCAAGACATCCCGAGTCTCCGAGTCCTTGTGTCTCACAAAGACATTCACAAACAGTATCATCTGTACTTGGCCTGGACAATCAGACACTTGTCTTCCCAGAAGGATGGAATGAAGATGCACAATCATTCCTTTTAATGAAGGCAGTTTCTTCACAAAAGCCAAGCTATCGTTCTGCCTGAAATACTTATCTAGACATTTATTTTAAACTGAAGTCCTGTGAATAACCTTGACTTCCACAAAAATACATTTAAAAAGATTTAAAAAACAATTAAGTTTTAGCAATAAACAGGAATACAGAATGTAAATGATTGCATTGCTGAGAAAAGGGAAAATTAAGTCTTCTAAGTACCCAATGAACAGGAGTGGAACAAATTTTCTCTCTTCAAATATATCCTTATAGTAATCTGAAGAGAATACTTCCATGATTGTGTAGAGATTTCTTCAAGACCTATTCAATTCCTTATTGTTCAGCTTACAGTGCCAGAAAAAAAGGCCTGTTAAAGTTAACATCTGCTAACTAATCATGAAACAGACCATAACAACATTTTATAGGGTTTGAACATAGCTATGAATTTTGATTACTACCAACTTCGACTGGATTAAAGATGCACTTTACTGTGAGACTTATGAAACCTACAAAAACCTATTCCTTTATAGGAAATGCTTCTAAAAATAAACGTTTTTGTTCTGGGTTCTGAAAATATGATCTAGCATTACAAGTATGTCTAACATTAAAGATATAAACAAGTCAATCAGGTGAATTACATTCTTCTGATTTTTTTACTAAATATTTCATTTTTGGAGTGTTAACATCCTACAGAGATTCTGACATGGAAATATTCTTAAGATGGGCTGCTGCACGGATCTGTTCTTCTGAGTTCCACTCCATATGTTTTGCTGCTTGACACAAAGAACACATGCATATATGCTGTATTTCAAGTTTTTTGGATCATTTCCTTTGAGGTGATACATTCATATCTGAGTGAGGCAATACAAAAATTTACTTACGAGCATCTCTTGACCAGCTGCACTCAAGTTGGAACTACTATATTGTGTGTAAACAGTCCCCTCGTGCAGAAGTCAATTGGATTAGAAAAGCTTTCTATTAAGCCATTAAGTCTGTATCTTTGCATTATGATGGGATTCATTTCTGCTCCATGCTTAACAAATTATAACCTGCTGAGCAATTCTTTACTATTTCCAATGACATAATTTAAACTAACTGGGGTTACTCACTTATACACATGCAAATTTTTGGCATTATAGCATAGGTTGTTTCTTTTGCTATCTTTCCAACTTTTTAATTCCAAAATACTTTTACTTTAAAATTAAAAATCCACATTATTAAAACCATAAAACTCATCGCAAGAATAAAAATCCATTACAAGAACATTCGATACCTCACTGTAATTCTGCATTCAATTTGAATGAACGGCTCCCTCCCTTCAGGAAACACCTCAGTCAAATAGCTATCCCCTTTGCTCCAGAGAACTATGCATTCTAGGAGAACTGAGTACTCAGAGGATGCTAAACACTATAGTCAGATCATATTAATCAAAAGAGGGACAACCAAAGCATTATGTCAAAGACTTGTTAATAACTGGAGAGCGTAATGAACGTACGTACCAGCAGGGTAACCATTGATCCACAGTCCATCACAGATGTCACCAGAACAATTAACTATAGCACCCCGTTCATTGAATACGTCATTTCTCCACTGCCCCTTTAAACAGAAATACACAAGGATTTTAAATTTCAACACCACCACAGCTAAATTATAAAGAAGGGATTATTTCAGCCAATTTTCAATAGCAAAGTGGGTGGTCCTCAAGGCTTCTCATAAATACCCTTCCAACATTTGTGTGAAAAGTTGAATAGGAGACCACACAACAATCAAGGATTATGCGGCACTCCTCTAAAGGGGAAAGGAGGGAGAATCAAACATTTCTTGCCCAAGGTTTGTTACTGTGGGATACTATTATGTGAGGTCCTTCAGTTCATATACTACACCGCATTAAATTACATGGCAAGAATGAATAACTGCTTTGTCACATACAGAATCACACGTTATTTTGCTTTTTAAAGATTGTGAAAAGTGAAATAGTGTACTAAACTCAATTCCAAATAGCCTTGGTTATTTAAATCTGGACTGCATTTGACCCAAGATATACCCTTTACATAAAATAAAAGTTTAAAGATTCCTAAGGCTGCAAAGCCAAATACCACAGAAGCATTGGTATGAGCCAATTAAAGTTTCCAGCAACATTAAACTTGCACACGTAATCATGCAATTTAGTATTATGTCACGATGAACATGCAGTTTTTCTAGTGTACCCCTTCCTACTCAATATAGTATAATCTTGAGATGATTAGCTCACAGCCACAATTTTACTAACATTAACTGATAGCAGAGTCAACTAATTCCTCTTTGTGGTCCTATACTAGGGAAGATAGGAAAATCTGTCAGACATTTCACTGCTATTTGCTGACAGGACAGGGAAGGTTACAATCAGGAATACTGGTTTCAGTTTCAGATGTAAAAAGAGAGTATAGTATTGCATATTGTAGTATGCACTTTTATTCCAAGTTACGTGTAAAACACATCTTGAAGCGCAGAGCTGGCACTGCTCTATAAAGAAATAATCAGACAATGGTCAAAGTACAGTCAAAAGTCCAGGTATGGGCAGTAAAATAACTCAGTAACAAATGTCACTTGTTTATGTGGTACTAAATCCCGTTTAGCTATCAGACAACATTCTTTCAATGTTAAAGTACATAAGGAACTAGAGAATAAGAATATGCAAGATCTAAAGTGATCATTCTTCTATTAAGTTGGATATCTGGCTTTTCGTGTGATAACAGCAGAGGTACCAAATAAAGCGCTACCATAATTCTAACGTGTGTGAACCAAGTTGAAACTCCAGATGGATTTAGCAGCTAAAATTCTAGCACTTTGTTTACACCTTTAGCAATTACAGATGTAAGCTAGAAGATAAAAACAAGACAAAGCAGTTCTTTGGAAATATGCTTCTGATACTACTTGCTTAGTCTATTCCTTCCATCACTTTAAAGCACATGATGCTATCTTCAGCAGTTATCCCAATGATAGCAGCACTGTTGGTAACTCTAATGTACCCAAGCTTCAAGCTCCACTGGCATTTTCACAATCTTCTCTACCTAGTGGAAGATACCTTTAAAACAGTAGTCAGCTAGTTGTACTCCTGAACGTACGTAACAACTGGAAGAAGGTCTAGAAAAAAAACTCACTGTAACCGGAATTGTATCTGAATTACATACTGAAATCATCGGGGCCTTCATCTTGCATCACTGCATGTAAACATGCAATAGGATTCAGCTGTGTACTGCTTCCCTTAGGGAAGGAAAAAGGACAGGGATGTAAAATATGCAACCTTTCCCAGTGGTTCCTTATCGCTACCTGTAAAGGCATTGTGCTTGCTTTCAATCAATTCTGATGATTGCCTACTATTAATGTCACTCATTCTCTTAAGTAATTAAGCCACCTCTTTCTTAGATTTGCCTTTGTCTCTCTCTGGCACATTTCCTTGTCTAATCCTCTTTTCCAGATGGCATAAGGATGAGAGATAAGTGTTGCTAAAAGTTGCTTAGCAATGCAACACATGCAAGGTTTGGAAATGCTGACGTCCACATAAGCACTATCTATACATCACACATTTATGCAGGGAAACAAAGGCGTGAACAACCAGAGTGACATAGGGGCCTCCAGAAAAAGAGCTACCAGTTAGTACACAAACAAAAGGGAGCAGGAAACGGAGAAAAAGAAAAAGCTACAAGCTTCCAGTGATGGGCTGTATTATACTGTGGGGTTTTTTGTTTGTGTTTGGTTTTATTTTTAAACTAGAACAGGAAATTCTGCTTTAAACAAAACAAAAACCTTGAGTTTTAGTAAGGTCCTGTATTTTCTCTGATTCGGAGACATACAATGCAGTAGACATAAAGACATTGCAATCTACTAATAGAGACCAAAACAGAAATAAAGAAGTTCATGAAGAACAGTAACTGATGAAGGCAAAGTTGTTTATCATCAGCTAGGTATCAACCACAGAAATCCTCCTATCCTAAGAATCAGCAATAAGGAATTTATTCTGGTAACTGCACAATGTAATTGTGGATTGTTTCTAAAACTCTAAAGTAAATGTGTTTATATGGAATTTATTTAAACCACAATTAAATGTTATGGGTAATATATAAGAACGCTTAGTACACAAACAGTAACAATTTCACAAGGTCATATTATCATATTAATTCATTTCTGCAACAGCCTACTTAAATAGGTTAGCATGACTCATTTTGTGTTCAAAAAACCTGAGATGTTAGGAATTTATTCATCACGGGTGACAACTTTGAAACAACTAGTTCCAAGAAAACAACTAAACAGTAGTAAATTAACTACAGAAATTGACATGTAGCTTTACTTGGGGTAGTCTCTTACTAAGAAAGATTTTCAAATACTAACTTTGATGGATATAAATTTTGGCAATTTTTTTTCAGGAATTAACAACATTTTTAATGATAGTTACTCCCAACGTCATGTGGCAGGGCAAGGTGTTCGAAGACATCTGTTTATGAATATAGAAAAAGATGTTGTAAATGGGTGATAAGAGCTTACCACTTCTTTTTTATTTCAGGAAGCAATTTCCAGTTAATTGATGAGGCTTCCATTTTTCAGTTAGTGGCTGTTACACTTTTTATTGCAATTAATTCTGTTTATTTCAGATACAAACTTGCCTGCCTCTACACTCAACTTGCCTGCCTCTAACAGTATGTGATTTCCACATGCTCTAATTTGGGCTTTTATCAATCATTTTCATTATTTGTCTTCAAGTATTCAAACTTATTTGCATGGACCTGATCTTAGATATCATGTTAAAATTGCTTAACAGATTTGAGTAATGACTGAACCATGCTTTCCTTTATAAAAAATTTTTGGCATTATAGCATACAGCCTCAGCTGACATTAATTTAGACAAACACATTATATTTAAATACACGGAGTTAGTCCAGTATATCCTGACCACTTATCTGGCTGAATATGTTCAGATAGTTCATGCTATATGGCCTGTTTTTAGAACTTAGGAGAAGCTATGTCTATTCCAAGAACTATAGTCTCAAATGTAAATCAGTTTGTGTCAAGACACACAAGGTTTTATTTCCCCCTCAAACTTCAAAGAGTTTCTGTACAATATTTCAGAAAGTTATTAACACTCAGATAGTTTTAATAAAAGAAAATATACTGGCTTAATATAGATAAAAGACGACAACAACTTTTCAATGCTTTTGATCCTTGAATAAGGAAATAAATATAAAGTATTAATATACTTTAAAATCAAGACATATTAGAGAATAATATTTTGCTGGCATTTTTTATATAGGAATGTGTGTGATCTGACAGACTACCTTATTCTCAAATCAGCATGTGCTTCAGAGTAAGACCAAAACCTCAAATTCTGCAGGCACTTTAGCACCCATTTTAAACACAAATTTCCTCCCTGATTATAGTTTATTCATGGGTTTATTTCTGGTCTGATAGTTCTTATCAAAACCTCACTTTATCCTTCTCTGAAGGCCTTTCATTATCTGCCTTCTAAAATGAAGGTAACAAGCAAAGCCCTGATGATTTCTGTGTTAGGCTGATTCAGGAAAGCATTCAACAATGTTTCTCTTTAGCAAGATGGACTACCATAACACAAGATTTTCAACAAATCCTCAGTGCTGCAAATAAAATGCTGTATATTACGGCAAAAGCTAGATAAACTACAGAAATAGTAGTTTGGTGGAGTTTTGGTTTTGTTTTGCCCTTTTTTTTTTAAATGCCCATTACTGGTCTGTATTCTAACAGGACGACTGCTAATTACATCTTCCCACTGTCTTCTTGTCACATCTTATTATCAAGCATCAGAACCATGTATCAGCTAAAGATCACTAAAAAACACTCAAAGAGGCAATTAAATATACAGATTATGCATTCAGAAACATGTTCAGCGCACTGCCAGGCCACTACCAGGCCACAGTAACTTCTAAAAATTGCTAGAGCTATGAGTGGTGCAGTAGTCAGTGGTCCTATCCACAAGCAATTAAAATAATAGAGTTCATCATTTACTAGTGGGGAGACTCATTCATGGTCTTTCTATCAGCAACAGCTTTATTTATATTTTTATATCATATATCATTATGTTGTAATCATAATCATGATTTGGAAAGATTTATTGTATCTTCAAATTTCATATTATCCACTAGTATGCAGTATAATCCTGAGCAATTGAAATTCCAGTAATTTAAATAATTTGCATCAGAACTGAAACTCTGACTCTTCCAAACAGGTAACTCAAATGGATTCTAGGGAGGGTGGGGGAACAAAAGCCTGCAGGTGAAAAAGCCCATAAGGCTTGCCACCTGTTTAGTGTGGTTAACAGGTGTATCAAACAGCAGGTCTTCCTCTGGGAAAGAAGACAAACTAAACGCTGCCAAAACACAGAAAGAAGTAGCAACAGGGACAGAATGGAACACAGCATCTGCTTACTGGGACTTACACAGCAGCCAGAAATGAGAAATCACAGAAAGGAAACACTTCCATGAAGAAAATGAGAGTTTACTTCATTAACCTCTGCAAACTTCATTTACATGTCATTGTTTTCTTTCATTCTCAAATGTGTGCACATACAAATGCACTAAAACCAGACAGGCCACCACAGGTCACTAGGTTTTGTTTTCATTTTTTTTTGTTTGTTTGTTTTTGTTTTTTGTTTTTTTTTTTTTTTAAATCAGCAGCTTTCAGGAGCTTTGTTATATGTTCCCTAGTGTTCAGCTATAGTTTCTATCTTGCATCCCTTGACAACATTTTTACCCAATGTGAAATCAGTTTTATGGTTAAGCAGTAGATAAATCAGAGTTGTTTGCTACTACTGGACTCGTCTGTTGATACAGTTATAATTATTGCTTGTTTACTGGACATTTAATCGACCTGAATCTCTGAGGGTTCGCAGACTACAATATGCTATTAACTGACAGCATCTACTTACTAAAAATTTATCATTTGCAAAAGATTGATCTAAAAATCTAGCCCTGACATTATTATAGTTAAAACTGAAGAGGAAAAACAGGCAAATTCAACATTCATGCCATCATTCAATCTATTCTGTACTATGTAGAAGTAATGCTAGAAGAATAACCTAGAGCTCGAAATATTTGCCCGTGTTCTTTTGGTTCTAGCAGATTACTTCAGTATGTCCAAGGTACTATTTCAGTAAAGGAAAAAAAAAAAATTCCAGATTTTTTCAAAATCCCTACAGTTACACACAGTTTACAAGCATAGAACTATTTGTACGAAGTATGGGTACGCTAACTGATTAGCAATAAAGTTTGATATTCACCAAGATATCTGACCATACAAAACAAACTTCAAAAATCTCGTGTGCAAAAGTTTATGTCAACAAAGCAGGCAGCATTTCCAGATCCTTAACTTGAGTTTCTTAGTAACTTGCCCTTTTCTGGGCATTGAACCAAGTCTTACCATTTGTGTTATGATTGGGTTTGCGTCCCCTGCGCTGCCCATACATAATTCCTCTAATTAGTTTTCACATATTTCCTGTTTACTTCCATATTACGTAGGCTCATGTTTTGCTGGAACTGTGCCTCGATTTTTGTTGGACTTCAGTGTATACTGATCTATTACCATATCTGTCGGGAATGTACTGGTATAAACTTAATATATACTGTGCACACAAACCCAATGGTTAACCAAGCACATAGTTTTTGTCAATTTTTCATTGACAACAACAGATCTTTAAAGCAGGAGGAAGATTCTGCTTGTTACTTGTACTGTGTCAAAACTGGCTGCTGAAAAAACAAGCAGTATTGAAAATTTTATATCCATTAAGTTCATTATTGTTATTCTCAAAGTATATTATTGTCAGCTTTCTAATCTGAAATGAATATAAATTTTGTCAGAGAATGACAGAGCCACAGAAGACTTAAGATCCGGACAGTGTTCGGGGCAGAAAGACAGAAAGGAGAATAATGCTTATGCTACCATCACTCAGGGGAATGGTTCTACAAGCAGCATGTTGAAAGAGATTAAAATTGCAGAAACACATGGCTAAATCATTCACCTGTAAGGTGTAGGTCGCAGGTATGTCTTAGACCCTTTCCAGAAGGCTGGTTAGCTCTTCCATAATTCTATGGTAACAGGTTAAAAAAAGAACTTTAACCTATTATTTTATCTGAAAAAAAGTATTTATATGCTTTTATTGTTTTATGTTAAGTTATATAATTTGAAAGCAGTATATGCTGAGTGAACACTTGCATTAAGTGGTTGTCTTTTAAGTTTGTTTTCTGCATAATATAAATACAAAAATCAACCAACAATATACTGTTGTCAGTACTGTCAGGATATTTTTTTTTTTGGCCCAAGTATCTTGTCCCTTTTGAGCACATATCCAGTGTAAACTTAAATATAGTACTAAATGCTTACAGCCCTAGAGAGACAGACCAGTTACCCAACAAATGTAAGCCTGAAGAATTTACTAATTCAGTCTCAAAACAGATGCTAGAGAGACACCTAGTGGTACAAAACTGTGTGTGCACACATGCGCACACAAATATATATACATAAAATATCCTCTCTTCAATGCCTCAAGAAGTGAGAAGCTATTGTAACAACACCATTTTTGTTTAACGGTGTTTAGGTTATAATGAAACAAATGCACAACAGCACTTGTACATATTTTTATGTCATCTGTTTCTTTATCTAACAAGTATTTATTATCTTGACCTACTAATTCCCAACATTCATATGTTCATGGAATAATACATAAAGATTTTTAAACTGTATCCAATAATTAAGTTTCGATTAACAGATTTAACTACAAACTTTTAATGTACATTTAAAAGAAATCTGGGGGTGTTGACAGGTGCAGAAAAGGAACCAAACCAAAAAACCAAACCCTTAACTGAAAAGCCAAGATATCTCCTTATGCATATACCAATAGCAGACCGAACCGCAAGATACCTAAGTACTTTATGCTCTATCTTAACTACATAAACAGTATTCAGTAGAATTTTAGTTGTGATTTCATGTCCATAGGAAAAAATGTCAGTTGGCTAGAAACATGTAGTAAAGTTATACTGAATAGCCTTCCCGTAATTTTTAGCTTCTCCGAACACGTAGTACTCTGAATTTCCACTAAACCTAGGGAGACCCCTTCTTTTCAACAACAAAGAAAACTGAATGAGGATCAAAGTCAGAAAGAAAGAGAGTCTTAAACGATGAAGTCAGTACTGGGTTTCTGAACTTCATTATAACTGGGTAACGAAATAGTTTATGAAGTGCCTGTTCCAAATCTGAATACGTATGCAACAATTAAAAGTTACTGGTTTTGAGTTCTAAAGTTACTACCAAAGTATAAAATGCTACTTCTTCAGAGAATCTCTCTCTCCACTTACCACAGAAATGATGTCAAATTAAAAAAAAATAAATTCCCAAGACAAGCACAGATTTGATCTCATTTAGTTTCTCAAAATTTCAGTAATAAATTTCAGATTATTTTTTTTAAACCCTCAGACACTGTGACTGCAATGACAGAATGCTATTCTTCATTTGTCATGCAGTAATTAATTTACAAGCTACAACCACGTTTGGTCCTTAAGTCCCAGGCCTCAAGGTCATCTCACTGAATTACTAGAAAATAATCCACAGGACATCTTATGCTGTTGTTTAGTTCACCCTGAAAATATATTCCCTGATCTTTCTACCTTGAAGTAGGTGTCAGCGAGTATGAGTATTCATATGTGCTTATACATATTACACATACATTTCCTCCCACCCCCAAATCATTATGTTTACTCCTGTTTTAGAAATAAGGAATACTCCAAATAATAATCACAAGAAAACTCCCAAGTAGGCTACGTATCCAAGAAAAGTCAAGCTGACATTGAATCTGAATTTCAACTATACAAAATACGGTTGGAATGTGTTAAAAAAAAAAATCAAATTTGAAATCTCTTCATGCATTACTCAATTAAAAATGGGGACTGAATTTGTTAAATGAACTAACAGTACTAGTTCTAAACATAGACCCTTTCTGTTTAACTGCCTGAAGCATCCTCTACCATGATCCTTTGAGCTTTTCCAAACAAATCAGTAGTTTCTCATAAGTCTTCTTTATATACCTCATATACTGTTCCAAGAGCACAAGGCAATATTCCATGACCTTGACACTTGTCTAGAATCCAGGCTCCTTCATCATTATCCTCATTCCTAAAACAGTGAAAAACAAATAGGAAATTCTTAAAGGAAAACAGATTCGGTGACCTGATACACCAAACTATCAGAGAAAGTGAGCCAATAACAATAAGCAGCAGCAGTCAAATCTAGTCCACACTCTTATGACCCTTCCCCTGAACTTCAAGCAACCAGTGAAATGGCACAGTGAAATTCAGTCAATCAAGCTGTACCATCTCTGAATTTGGCCAAAGTATGAGAGTCCTAGAATTCACCTGTAACCTTTTTCATTTAAGCATATTAAAATATGTATTTAATTCCTAAATATGAAAAAGTGACTAGAAGTAAGAGAGCTGGACATAAAACTTTTCCTGATTAACAATTCATTGTGTTTGAAAACTAATCAATTGTATAGAGGCAATTCATTTAAGGCAACAGTTCAATTTCCCATGCTATGTTACTAAACTAGTTGTATAATTGTGACAGTGCCAGTTGTTTTCTGAATCTTAACATCTTATCACTACAGGCTTTTCCCTTCTAGATTATAGCCAATAACAGCTTTTTTCCACCTCTAAATTTTACTAAATGTTACTATTTCTAAATACTTACTCAAATATTACTCAGCATTTTATAGCTTTTATTTTTGAAACAAAAAATAATTCTCACAGATTAAGTCAACATAAAGCGAGAACAAGAGCTTAGTTTTCTGGCTTTCAGTAGACCAAAGCCATCTCTGAAAAATGAAATAATTAAAAAAATGTATTTACACAGCATAAACAGGTCTGTTCAGTCTTGACAGAGTAAACTTTAAACAAAGGTTACTCAGAGAGTCTAACTTACCTTCTCTCATTCCACAGAAGAGCTCTCCTTCATATTTCCCACCATCTTTATATTGCAATACTTTGTGTCCATGGAGCTTTCCAAACACAAACTGACCAAAATAAGTGTTTCCTTGAATCAAATATATGAGAAAGTTAAATACAGAAGGAAACAGATCTGTCAAACATGGTTTAATTTTTTTAATATATTTAGGGTTCGCCAGTAAGTGATATTCTACTTACAGAGCACAAACAGAAGACATTCTAAAAACCTAGAAGCTTATAATTAATGACTACTTTTTTTTACTATTAATGCTGTCTAATGAAGACTATAAACGTGCTCATTCAGCCTTTATTTTAAAACTAATGAGTCATAATCCTTCTGGTCTTTAAAACTGACAGTGATACATTAAAAGGAAAAGATTCATAGTATGTTCTTTTATGGTTAACGAATGTATAAAAGAAGTACTTGAATTTCATAGTCACCTTAACAGCTTTTTGATGGCATGTGCTCATTCAAATATTGTGTATCAAAGCCTGAAAAATCAGCTGCTTAGCCCTAGAAGTACTGTACTGTGAATTTCCTGATGTATGTGTGATCTTAGAATGACAGATAACTATTTTTCTGTCAAGTATTTACCCGATTTACTTGTATAATACACTATTCCACGTGGTCACCCTTTATCTTCTTTCTGTCAGCCTTACAGATTGTTGACTAAAAGGGTTACACAGGTGGAGAGCTCACTGACTTACCTGCACAGGAACAAACAAAAACAGGAGAAATTCTTTTCTAGAGCAACTTACTGGGACAGATCTTTAATCAACAAACTTCTTTCCACTCAGGATGCTAGGAGATGAATTCATTGAACTGTTCCCTTGGTAAATCATGCATGAGATGTCCCTCCATCAGGGATAGTTTATCCAAGTTCTTTAAATCCTTTAACATCTTTGGCCTGATCTTGTGGAGCACTTCATATGAGGACAAGTCTGCATGTGTGTGCATCTTTGAAGGACCAAGATTTATCAAAGATTGATGATACATGTTTCTGGTTTCTACCATTAAGGCATTTGATTAACTTTCTGAGGTGACTGAAAGTTAACCCAGCCTAAATTGAGAGGCCAACAAGAAAACCTGAAAACCACAACTCTTCAATAAACACCAAAGACTGACAACTTGGACTAAATCAGTTTGGCTGCTTATGATACGTATTTATTTATCAGAATTTAATGGGATTGGGATTTTTTTTTTAAAGGGTATGTAATGGTTACAGCCTCACCTGTCGATGCCCAGTGTTGAAATCCATTCCCCATGATTTCTCCATTGACAAACTTGCCCTCACAGTAACTTCCATCTTCAAAGAACAGCTTGTCCTGACCTAGGAAATAAAACAATACTTCCAACCCCTTTTAACAGACAAATGTCCACCTGTTTTCAACTCAAGTCAAAAGTTGAAACTTTCTCCTATTTTTCTCCTTTATATGATTAAATTTATATCTACACATTGTTACCACCTTCACATGCTTTAGACTTTCTTAAAACTTACTATCTTAGCATCTAAACATTGACCCCCCAATTGAAGGGATCTACAAAGCATATACAGGGTAGAAATCCTAAATCCATTAAATCAAATTTTTCCCTATTGGCTCTAATAAAACAGAATGGAATCATAGTTTTTAAACCTCTTGAAGTGAGGGATCTGATTTTCATAGCAGTCTGTAAGCTCTACAACTATGCTAGTTTTACAGGTAACGATCTACTGTGTTGTGTAAAAGGGGGGTCTGTTTGTCTTCTTGTTCTGTCTTATAGCATGCAAAAGGTTTAAAGACTACCAACGGCCCTATTCTTAAAAAAAAAAAAAAAGGAAACTAAAAGGATTGTTGCAAGCTCAATTTATGCTCCTCAGGTCAGGGCCCCGAGTTCACCCGATAGGCCCCCAATTCCTCTGACAAGACCCACCCGAGGCCTCTCTGCACCCCCCGCCCACCGTGTTAAAAGAGAAGACAAATGAAGTTATTTAAACAATACAGAAAGACTAGGTTGAATGTTGAATAACCAGCAACACAAAAGTAAATGCCCTAATTTTACTCAGGGATACCCATTTTAAAATTTCAGTATAAACAACATTTATGTGAATAGATAAAGATATTACTTTGCTTACTACTTATATTTGCTTTACGTTGTGATGGGAACCCAGGCTCTTAAATATCTAAAGGTCATTATAAGTGTTGCAGACTACACAGAAACAGCCAGCAGCTAAAGCGTTAGCGCTACCTTTGGATAAAACAAGAACGCTAGCACAGAAAATAAAGCAAACCCGTAAGAGGAAAAGCGGCTGTATTTACGTCAGCCTAAACGCAGGAGCGCGGGCTTAGCGTCTCTTCGCCTTAACGAGAGACCGGACTTGGCGGCCGTAGGAGACTCGTCCTCGCCCCTCCAGGCGAGGGGCCAGGCTGAGGCGGCACCGCGCGGGAGGCCAGAGCGGCGGGGTCTGCCCCGGGGAAGGCTCACTACCACACACACACACACACCGAGGCGGGGTGGGAAGAGGGGTGGGTGGTAGGGGCCCGGGC